CAGAATTCTGAGATTAATTCAGTCAGAATTTCTGTATGTTTTTCTCAGAATTCTGACTTTTTATTGTCAGAATTCAGTCAGAATTCTGAGATTAAAGTCAGAACTCATGTTAAACTGAAATAAAATTTAAAAATCAGTTAACTTTTTTTTTTTTTTTTTCTCAGTGGCCCTAATCCTCTTCGGTAGAAAACCCTTAACATTACTGGCAGCAAACACTCAAAGTCACCCAGATTATACTTCATGTATATTGTAGAGTATATAGTTAAAAATACCACTATTTAAGCCTTCAGCAGATATTAGTAGTTGTTCCTTTTGGAACAATTTGTGTTTCTAATAACAGATGTTGACAAACCCTTGAATAAAAATATAAATAAAAGATGTAGGATGGTACAAAGTAGCATTACATTCCCTCCAATGTGAGAATATTTGAGAACATTAGTTTGGCCGTGTGTGTCAGAAGACTTGGCTCACTTATTGGGCCTCCATTAGCAGAACAGCTTTGGGAGCGCGCTGTGGAAGAGCTAATAACTGGGCCAGCGGGGCAGAACCCCTGCCAGCTTCAGCAAAGATAAAAAGAAACAAGAGTTCAGGGAGAGGTTTGCTCTTCACAATACCAGGAACCTTTTTGTTTTCACACACGCAAAATTCATTTCGGATTCCACTATGTGATATAATGAGGCATTCAGGTGCCGTTCCACTGCTCCGGGGCAGTGAACACTGAGGATTTGTCGGCACCCTGTTGTTTTTGTGTGCTTTTCTAATGGCTTCCTAATATCTGCAGTGGTCTGCAGGCAAAACTTTATGGTGCTAATTAAAAAATGCTTGTAGGCCTCACTGTGTACTGTTTTTTTTTTTTTTTCTGTTTTGAATAAAAAAAAAAAAAAGCTTCATCTTTTTTCTTTCTTTTGAGAGTCGTAGTTTAATCCATTTATCAAAGCAGTAGATTTTTATCACGTTATTCAAAGGAAATCCACTATGTTTGCTTCCTAACACAAAACCATGTAAATCTTCGAGTCTTTATTCTATTAAATCAGGTCTGTTGCTTCTTCCCTCCTTTATGTTTTTAACATTTTGCTTAAAGTTTCTTTGTTTTTTTTCACCAAGCTGCTGTTATAATAAACGTTAATGTTAACATTTACATCCTAATCTATATATATCTATATATATATCGATATATATACGGTATATAAAAAAATAGATCTGTCCGCTGGCAGATGCATCTTCAATACATATATCTTAGCTTTAATGTAACAGCACAATCAATTGAATAACTGCAACGTAGAAGAGAACTGTTGTGTCGTTTACAAATCTATAAACATCAGTAAAGTTTGATGGAACTACTAGCAGATTACTTATACATTGCATTTCTGGGATGCATAATAGGAAAAACATACAATATTGATGCATCTTTTAATAATATAACAAATTAATAGAGAAACTAGATGGAAACGATTAGGCGACTTTTGAAGTATTATCATAAATGTAATGAATTTAACTTTTTCCACGTAAAATATGCTTTGATTCAAGCCATTCTATTGGAGCTCTAAACTATTAAAGGTTTTTGTCCCGCTGGATCGTGAATCTCCAATCCAAACCACTGTTCTTCTAGGATTAGTCTGCATTTTACACATTTTATCTGCATTTTATTTGCCCTCTTTCCTTGTACCTGTTGAGAAAAAAAAAACATCTCTCATCCGTCTCCATAGATGACAGCGTGTGTAGCATAATGTAATTATATATATTTTTTATAACACAAAGCCTGTTGGATGTCAGTCCAAAAAAAAAAAAAAAATATTGGTCCTTTTACAGGTTTTCCCCCAGTCATTAAAAATAATTAGAAGTCATTCAATTATTTCTTTAATTAAGGCCTTAATTGGCTTTAAAATTCATTAAAAATG